TTATGATGAGTCATTATGTAGTATAATTTTTGAACTGTATNTATTTATATATATATATATATATATATATTATTGTATTGAAACTGGAATTTAGAATGGTATAATTTGTATATGTGTTATATTAATATCTTGTATATATGTTTTTGTATTATGATGAATCATTATGTAGTATAATTTTGAACTGTATACATGTTGTTATGTTATATTATCATTATATGAAAAAGTTGACATACTTGCCTTGCATCGTAACTTAGTTACTGGTGAGGGAGTATCGTAGGAATGTCATAAGTCACATGTCTGTTCATCTTATTTTTAAAAGAGTTGCGAATGGCAACGAGAGAAAAAAACAGATAAAAAATAATAATAAAAATGGCTGTTCTAAAAAATGTCTTCTGATTATTTATCCTGTATTCCTGTCGCGTACAGTATAAACTAAGTATTTTTTTTGTCTTGTTTAGCTTTCCATAACCGTTCAAAGGTTAAAGTTAATTACATTTACTATCATAAAAAGATTAAATTTTCTTATTCGTATTTTTATTGGTTAGTAAAATCATATAATAAGCAAAAAAGATTCAGATATAGTATTTACANTTTCCATAACCGTTCAAAGGTTAAAGTTAATTACATTTACTATCATAAAAAGATAAATTTTCTTATTCGTATTTTTATTGATTAGTAAAATCATATAATAAGCAAAAAAGATTCAGATATAGTATTTACATGTCATCATGTCATCAGCATAAAATTAGTAAAAATTAAAGTCCTTTATTTAACTGTAAAAATTATTCCTTTATTTAATAGTAAAAATTAAAGTCCTTTATTTACCAACAATATTTCCTTTTTTTTTCAGCCCTTCTTATTAGTTTCTGTTATAATTATGAATTGAATTTTTACAAAATTAAAAGTTTTAAATAATAAAAAATGTTGATCCACTATTATATTTTCGAGTAATTGTATAATATTATCTTATTATAGAACATTTCATAATAGAAATATCCAGTTATCGTTCTACAAGTATTAAACGGTAAAAAAGTTATTTATATTTTCTAATAAGTTGTGCTTGTTTTTATACTAGATTTTATGCAAAACTGTTTTCAGTTAATATATGTCATTAAAAGATTCAAAACAGAATAAAAATTTAATTTTTTAAAGCAACGAATTAACTTTTCGCACTATTGTTAAATAAGTTCTTTGACAAAAAATATTCAAACTTCAGCAGTTATCAAAAAGTGAATAAATATTTAAAAATAAGCGTGTAAATGAAGTTTTAATGAATGTCGTCAAATTCAGCAAAATTATCAGGCTTACATTTTATCTCAAAAGAATTAAAAACTAAATCTGTGGAATTAATCTGTAAATTTAAAATTGTATTACAGTCAAAACTTTTGAAGGTATTTTATTTGGATAATGGTTAATTTTGATATAACAATTCCTTTTTTACGATTGATTACAAAGCAATAATGGAGATATGTGAGCATGAGCAGAGATCATCTTAGAATGACATATATTTTCAATTTGTTTAAATTTAGTCAAAATTTTTGTCCAGAATTATAAAATGGTTTAAATTAAGGGATAAATAGTATAGCTGGTTAAGTAGGGAAGGAGCAATCATTCCACGAGCATAAATGATAATTTTTTTTCTTCATGGAAATAACAAATTCGATAATGTGGTAAATGTAAGAACATTGTTCTTGTTGTGTCAATTGGAATAGTGGAAAGATACATTTCAAAGCTGTTTAATAAAATCTTTGGAGCAGCGCCATCTGTAACTTTAATAAGGCGCATGGGCTCAAGGAACCAGGAAGAACAGTATGTAACCTCTTGTAATAATAAACTAGAAAAAAAGACTTATATAATTTTCTAAACAGCAGTTCCCAAAAGGTGTTCTGTGGAATTTTAGGGTTCTAAGGGAGTGTCCCAAAGGATCCGGCAATTAAATTAAAAAAAAACAGTCATGGTTTTTAAAACCTGCGATTACATCTATTTCCAAATAACAATCCATTACTTGTTTAATATTTCCGTTATTTTTATGAAATATTTTTCTAGAAAAATATACTAAATAAATTATGAAAAAGATCAGCATTTATAAAAAATATTCCCAGTTGAATTTTTCACTTTAAAGGGAGCAAAAAAAAAATCAACAATAAAGAAATGTTTTTTATAACCATTCTCACATTTAAGACAGTACTTTAATGATAGTTCAATCAACGTTCAATATTCCTTTTCGAATAAAAAGAAAACATAATTCATTGTATTTCATTTATTTTCAGTTTATACATACCAAAATTAAGTTCAGAGCTAAGTTTGATACCTGTGGATTCAACTGTCTTACATAATACCTATTTTTAAAACTATTAATGACAAAAAGGTTTAAAAATGTACACTTGTATTATTCGAAAATAATTAGTAGTGCTTCTTTGGTTAGGTTTGGAATTGCTGACGAACTTTATTAAGCTGTGGTTCCGCCGAAAGAAGGATCCATTCATTAGAGTTGCGTAGTCAGAAAAAATTGAGAACCGCTGTTCCCAAATATTTGTACAAAAAATCGTATTTTTCACAAAGCGCTATCTGTGTTAAAAATAACTCGATTACCTGATTCACGCATTCTATTTCTTTAATATCTCTACATTATTTAGTGGAAAAGAGAAAAGAAGTAGTTACAAGAAAAATGATAAAATACAGATATACTTTATTAAACGGGAAGAAAAAAAAATGAGAAAAGTATAAGGTATAAAATTACAGGATTAAAAAAAAGTAATGGAACTTAAAGCAATTTACAGTGATGGATTCTGATATGTGAATGTTTTGGAGACAAAACTGCTCTCACAGTTTCTTCGAATACCTGTCAACAAAAATAAAAACAAGTTGTAAAAATGCAATGGTAGTAANCGAAATCGGAAGTCATCAGTTGCAAGTTTGTTGATAATAGAAATTAAAAATTATTGAGGAATTTTTCTTCAAATGTTTGGCGTGTTCTGTTCCTGAAAGATTTACTAATATTCTGGAGATTTTTTTCAAGTTCTTCGGCCTTTTCCTTAGGGAAATTTTGTTTCTTATTTGCTGCTAAAAAATGGCGTCTGATTCAGTCAATGACTTTGATGGAACTAAATGAAAACGTGATAAATTAATGTCCGATATTTACAGGCTCCCGCTAGACGGCGTACTCGAGCGTTGCGATCGCGAATTATATTTTCGAGTAATTGTATAATATTACCTTATTATAGAACATTTCATAATAAAAATATCCAGTTATCATTCTACAAGTATTAAACGGTAAAAAAGTTATTTATATTTTCTAATAAGTAGTGCTTGTTTTTATACTAGATTTTATGCAAAACTGTTTTCAGTCAATATATGTCAATTAAATTTTTTAAAGCAGCGAATTAACTTTTCGCACTATTGTTAAATAAGTTCTTTGACAAAAAATATTCAAGCTTCAGCAGTTATCAAAAAGTGAATAAATATTTAAAAATAAATGTGTAAATGAAGTTTTAATGAAGGACGCCAAATTCAGCAAAATTGTCATGCTTATATTTTATCTCAAAAGAATTAAAAANTTCAGCAGGTATCAAAAAGTGAATAAATATTTAAAAATAAATGTGTAAATGAAGTTTTAATGAATGACGCCAAATTCAGCAAAATTGTCATGCTTATATTTTATCTCAAAAGAATTAAAAACTAAATCTGTGGAATTAAAATTGTATTACAGTCAAAACTTTTGAAGGTATTTTATTTGGATAATGGTTAATTTTGATATAACAATTTCTTTTTTACGATTGATTACAAAGCAATAATGGAGATAGGTGAGCATGAGCAGAGATCATCTTAGAATAACATATATTTTCAATTTGTTTAAATTTAGTCAAAATTTTTGTCCAGAATTATAAAATGGTTTAAATTAAGGGATAAATAGTATAGCTGGTTAAGTAGCGAAGGAGCAATCATTCCACGAGCATAAATGATAATTTTTCTTCTTCATGGAAATAACAAATTCGATAATGTGGTAAATGTAAGAACATTGTTCTTGGAGTGTCAATTGGAATAGTGGAAAGATACATTTCAAAGCTGTTTAATAAAATCTTTGGAGCAGCGCCATCTGTAACTTTAATAAGGAGCATGGGCTCAAGAAACCAGGAAGAACAGTATGTAACCTCTTGTAATAATAAACTAGAAAAAAAGACTTATATAATTTTCCAAACAGCAGTTCCCAAAAGGTGTTTTGTGGAATTTTAGGGTTCTAAGGGAGTGTCACAAAGGATCCGGCAATTAAATTTAAAAAAAAACAGTCATGGTTTTTAAAACCTGCGATGACATCTATTTCCAAATAACAATCCATTACTTGTTTAATATTTCCGTTATTTTTATGAAATATTTTTCTGGAAAAATATACTAAATAAATTATGAAAAAGATCAGCATTTATAAAAAATATTCCCAGTTGAATTTTTCACTTTAAAGGGAACAAAAAAAATCAACAATAAAGAAATGTTTTTTATAACCATTCTCACATTTAGGACAGTACTTTAATGATAGTTCAATCAACGTTCCATATTCCTTTTCGAATAAAAACAAAACATAATTAATTGTATTTCATTTATTTTCAGTTTATACATACCAAAATTAAGTTCAGAGCTAAGTTTGATACCTGTGGATTCAACTGTCTTACATAATACCTATTTTTAAAACTATTATTGACAAAAAGGTTTAAAAATGTATACTTGTATTATTCGAAAATAATTAGTAGTGCTTCTTTGGTTAGGTTTGCAATTGCTGACGAACTTTATTAAGCTGTGGTTCCGCCAAAAGAAGGATCCATCCATTAGAGTTGCGTAGTCAGAAAAAATTGAGAACCGCTGTTCCCAAATATTTGTACAAAAAATCGTATTTTTCACAAAGCGCTGTGTTACAAATAACTCGATTACCTGATTCACGCATTCTATTTCTTTAATATCTCTACATTATTTAGTGGAAAAGAGAAAAGAAGTAGTCACATGAAAAATGATAAAATACAGATATACTTTATTAAACGGGAAGAAAAAAAATGAGAAAAGTATAAGGTATAAAATTACAGGATTAAAAAAAAGTAATGGAACTTAAAGCAATTTACAGTGATGGATTCTGATATGTGAATGTTTTGGAGACAAAACTGCTCTCACAGTTTCTTCGAATACCTGTCAACAAAAATAAAAACAAGTTGTAAAAATGCAATGGTAGTAATGCAATGGTACATTATGAAGAAGAAATTTATACAGGGTGTCACAAAAGTCCCAGAATGGGTTAATACTTCGAGAAATGCACACCGGATCAGAAATAATGATGTTTAATGTTTCACGAAAACTTATCCAATGACATTGAACTCGCTACCCCAGATTAGGAAGGTGAACCATCGTATCATTATTCTCATTTATTCTCATATTTTCTTCTGACATGCATTTTTCGAGATATGCCAGTATAGAATAAATAAAAATATATTAAATATAAGTACTGCCCTTTTCATTTATTTAATTTTAATTATTTATCAATAAAAGCGTTTCTTACAAATGAACCACCCTTTGTGGCGGGGTGGCATTGGGTTATAACATTATTTACAAGTAAGATATTATTTTATTTTATAACCTTCGTTGAACAGCTGACCCGATTTTTGTGTTTACGACTACTAATGTTCAACTACGTAGCCTTGTAATTTTGAACCCACTTCAGAAGTCAATGGAACTTCTGGTTCAAGTATTGGGAGAAATTTGCCTTCGTGGAAGAATTTTTTTTGGAACTAATCCGCATTTGCGTTACACGGAGAGGAAGAACACTAGAACTTCGAACGGTTAACCTGACGGCAAGGGAATTCTAAGCCATTGTCCGTCTATCGCTGAGGATATTTCATGTCAGCACTGTGGTCGATGCAAGCCGGATGCGGAATTCGTATCGACCAGCCATCACGGGGATTCGAGCCCGGTTCACCTCATTGGGAAGCGAACGCTCTATCTCCTAAGCCATCGCGGCTCTACAAGTAACATTCAATTATCATTTCTTAAGGTCATAGAGTTGTTTAAAGTTATTCTCTGTTGTCTTAACGTTTCTAATTTTAGAATGAAAACGTTCCGCAATGAAGATTTCTTTTCGGCGGCATTGACTTTATTTTTATGATCTTCTAACGATGCGACTTTCATAATGATTGGAAACTGAAATTTTTCTGAAGAGAAATATTACGACTGCTGCACACCAGCTTAAGCGTCTCCATTTTCAAAATAAGTCTTAACATTCCTACACTGTTTGTGAGACACAATACGCTATTCCTGAGCATGTGCAGCATCGCTGAGAAACGGAAAAACACGTTAGCGTTAATGTAACGTGTACGCAACACAGGAGTTGTTTATTATCCAAAGTTAAGGGGCCTAAAATTAAAATTGTTCCATAATTACACACAAAAATTATCGAATGATATTACTTTAATACGAAGCATTTTATAGATTTATAATATATGTATCGTTTTATATTTATTATAACGTTAACTGTTTTATAATTATAAAACGGTAAGTAAGATAGATTAACTTTTTAATAAGTTATTATTTTTTTTTAACACATTGTATACAAAAGTTGCATTTAGTTAACGCAAGCAATTAAAAAGTTTACGATAATTTTTTTAAAAAACTTTTTTTTTAAACTTAATTTTTTGCACTACTGCTAAATAATTTCGTTAGCAGCAAAAAAAAAAAAATGAACGGCTTCTGATAGCAACCAAAAATTAAACAAGTATTTAAAAACAAGTTTGTGGATGATGCTGCAATGGTAGCGAAGAGAAATTTCAGATTTAAATTTTATTCCAATAGAACCGAAAACTAAATCTGCGGCGAAAAAATTAAAGATCATTTAAATTAATAATTTCAAATTTTCATATAACACTTTATTAATCGCTTTATTTACACTTTATTAATTCACTACATGAAAGTTTAAAATCTCTAAAACTCAAAGGTGAATAGAGATCAGTTGAAATTTAGGCTTTTATTTTTAACAGAGAGACTTAGGGTGTTGTAATTACTGTCTTTTTATTGTTCAAATACAAAATGTCTTTCTTTATACACTCTATTGCATTTTCCTTATACTTATTTTGGTGGAAACGGAAAATTTATTGAAATAAAATAAACTTTTTTTTTGTTTCCAATGAGCTGGACAATCGGTCTTGCCGATGAGCAGACCTAGTGCGTTCTCCAGAGGTGGTATCCACTCTTTCAGGACCACCACAATGGGTGAGATACCGTTGGTCATGTTAATTTGGACGTCTAGTTTCTGCCATACTAGATGGCAGCACCGAGACTCTATTTGGATGCTAAAGTGCACTAGGAATTTAATTTTGCCGAAAATGCGAAGAGCCAATAAGGCACTCCAGGGATCTTTTACATGCCGCATAATCATACGACATCCCGAAAATCCAGTGTCTGGGCCGGGGATCGAACCCACAGACTTGGACTCAGGAGGCCAACGACAAACCAACTGCGCCACCCAGAAACAAAAAAATAAAAAATAAAATAAACGTTGCATAGGAATTTTAATTTAATTGATTGAAACTTTTATTAAATTTCTAGTGTATGGACTACTCCCTACTGGTTGTTTTCTTATCAGCTAACTCAGTATTTATCAGTTGTCTTAAAATTGTGAGTTATTGGGTGAGAAATATAGAAACAATATTATAAAACAACGTGACAACGCCTTGAGCAGCAAACGTTTTACTGAAGAAGCCTCTGAGTAAATATCATCACCGGTTGCAATACATTCGAAACAATCAGTATTACCATATACCAGGCGTTTTATCAACACCTCTTAGAAGAGAGAGGCTCAATTGAGCAATCCGACGTGACGGACATAAACTGCGCAGTGGGGATTCAAGAAAGATGTCACTACGTTCGGGCTACTAAACTGAGCATTCGGTGAAGATATCACTGCGTAAGGACTCTTAAATTATCAGATTTCTCGCTTATTGTAAAACGCGCAAAGGCCTTCTCCTTTCCTGCTTGATAGACACTTTTTGTGTAAATGAAATGTGTAATAAGTTTTGAAAATTAAATGCATTTTCGTTAAATTACGAACAGTAAAACTTAGAGGTGCGTAACTTTAAACTTATCCCCTATCACTTAACATGTTATTCCACAACGCTCTTTAAACATAAACTTGTTCTCAGATTTCACAGATTTGCATAATTTATCTCAAAACTCAATAGATCTCAAAACTCAATAGAAAAATTTTATCTGGTTTTATTTTTAAACTTTCGGCTTTTAGGTTTTCTGGTTTTAAATTTCTGCTTTTAGGATTTTACTCCGGCACTTGCCGTTTCCATGACTTTATTCTCCCCTTAAACTGGCATCTTCCTTATACATAGGACATTCAAAATGAAATCTTGCTCTTGGTCAAGTTCAGCACCCTCTGTCTTACCTGGTGTCATCTTTGAGTGTTATCACCTCAGTGAAACTTTGGTTTACCTTAGAACATTTTAATCTTAGAGGCACTTAGCCTTGAAAGGGAGACACTTGAACTTTTAGTCGACTATTTTATTTATTCTATTGGGCTTATTTTAGTCTTTTTTATTTTTAATGTGATTTTTCATATTTTACCATTTGATGTTTTACCTGACCTTACTTTTATATGTTTTTACCTGTATTTTTGACACTTTTATTGTCGGTTGATTTTATCCACTTTGATGTTTTAAGCACTTTTAATCTTTATTCTGTTTTATTTTTATTTTACTTTTTCGATTTTGGGATTTTTCCTATGTGTTTTAATCTTTTTAATTTAGTACTTTTACTTTTCTGTAGTTTGGTAGTGTTTAGTCACGTGCAAACGGGTGAAACCCTTATCCGCAAACTCCTTCGGGGGTAGGTCGGTTACTATTGGTCTTGTTCTTAGATTTCACAGATTTGCATAATTTTTCTCAAAACTCAATAATAAGACTTATATTAGTGTTTCTCGACAAAAATAACTCTTAACACATAACAATAATAAACAATAGTATAGTATATCTGTAAAAAAAAAAGCCACTTACTTCTTTTACTCCATTAATTTCCTTTGCTGAACATTCTACATATTTGGCAGCCTTAATTTTTGAAGCCAGTTTTTTCCCTTGCGTTCTACTAATAAATTTATCTTTAGACTGTCCTTCTGCATTTTCTCTTAGATCTGTTTTAGTACCTGTTCAAAAGTTATTTCATAACTAAGTGAAAATTGATTTCTAAACATTATTTATTCGATTGCGAAATAAACTCATTACATGAAATTTCTAACAAAAGAAGAAAAAATCAAGGTTTGGCAAAAGCTATCAAAGATTTTCCATTTGGCTACAAACTTATTGTATTTGACAAAGACAACCACAGTTATTGTGATGCTGCCACATTTGAGTCAGTGTACTAGACAAGCTCAGATGGTGCAAGCTTTGAAGTAAAATTGAATGTATAAACTAATAAACTAGAAACACTAAGAACCATACTTACTTTTATTGAAAATGAATTTTAGTTGTGTTTGCAACTAGACGCGTACCTCCGAAAGAGTGCACATCATTTAGCTACTTGACTAGTTAAGAAAAAAAATTTCAGAATCGTGCCAAAAATGATGAACGAGTTTCAAAATTAAATAAAGATAGATATCCACGGTCTGCTTCGTATTTCGTCGATATTTTTTCTCACTATGTTTCAAAATAACTTGCTAAGTAAGTCAACAGAAGACTCTTCTGTTGATGAATGATTTTAAAGCAATTAAATCGGAAAAACTATTAAATATTTCTTGCTGCATATCAGACTATCTGCTGCACCGAGTTCTGTTAATTTTGTCCCCGGACAGCGATAGAGTATTGTTGCAAGTAATTCTTATTTTGGAAACATTTGTTTTTTAGCTTTTCGCAGTTAGCGGCACCGTTTGTTAAACTTTTTTAATAATTTTGAAACTTGGAGAGAAGAAATTTCTCGGCCTCCTAAGCAGAACACTACTGTCAACCGTACATTTTGATTCCCCTTTCGTATTCGTTTTTCTCTTTTCAAATCGCCTCTCATTTTTTGGACACCGGGTAAAATAAATAGATTTAAACTGCTTTTCATAGATAAGTCAAATTAGTCCATTTAAGCCGGGACAGTCGTTGATTCTTCCATGCTACAAAAAAAAAACAATACTTGCCTTTCACGCCTTGCCAGTTAACATCTAAAATGTCTTACTTTTTCTCAGGGTATAAAATCCAACCCCTTTGCCCGAAATGTCACCAACATCAGGCTTTAGCTGAAGATATTTTAAGCTGCTTAGGAGTTAGTTCTTCGAGAAGAAATTTACCCTTCTCCTCTCCTTGTTTTCGACTTTTTATTCGTCAACGGATAAAAAGTCGAAAACAAGAAGGTTAGCTGAAGTAATTTTAAGCTGCTTAGGAGTTCTTTGAGAAGAAATTTACACTTCTCCTCGTTTTCGACTTTTTATTCGTCAACGGATTTATGGATCTGCACTGACACCGTCAGACCTTTGGAGATAAGTAACAACAACAGTCCATCAATTCCTTCTGGATTGTGATCTTTTCATCGTGATTCATCGTGATCGGGCGATGACATCACGTATGATTCTCATCACACGTGATGTTATCGCCCGATTATCCCTTCTCGCCGGTATGTACATTTATGTTCAAATGTACACTTATTCCATGTACACTTATTCCATGTACACTTATTCCATGTACATTTATTCCATGTACACTTATACATAAAAGTACATTTCAAATGTGCACTTATGTCCATGGTATCATACATAAAACGTCCATGGTATCATAAATCAATTCGTCACCTAACTCAATTTTTTTTTTATGCGTCGTACGCTATTTTCAGCAACCTTCAATCTTCATGATATTTCAAGGCTTGAAAATATATCAGCATTCACGAGAGCCTTTACTTACAGCTTCTTTACACGGTGAAGGATCGCCTTTTTTTTTTACCTATTAGGAAAGTTTCCAATCGATTATTTAAACACTGCACGCAAAATAAACAAATAATTGCATAGTATAAAACTGTGAAACAAATAAGCACAGCGTACTATGCCACAGAAACACGTCCGCAACTGAAGCATGTGAAAACGCGACTGAAACCGGTTTGCACTTGTTTACGTTCGTGTATCAGTTGGTTAACATTGTAATGCAATACGTCAAAAGTAAATACAGATAGGAAGTACATAAAAAATCTCCTGAATGAAATCCCATTACATGTACATTTAAATATATAAGTATTGTATATAAACTTGTGCGAAACGTGTAATTATTGAAAAACTACAGAGAGTCTAATAATTTGGCTAGGAACTGTATACTTTCGGAGTGGGCGGTACTGTACTGTAGAAGCGTACCGTACTCCCTTAATAATGTATTGTTTTACAGAGAAGTTAATGCGCACTTACCTACTAAGATAAAAGGGGTGGTAGGGCAGAGATGCCTTATTTCTGGATACCATTTTGTTGAGATATTTTCATAAGATCTGTTGTTATCCACACTAAAACACAGCAGGAAACCATCTGTCTGAAAAACAAAAGATCCATTATTTTTTATTATTAAACAATTATAAAATGATTTATTCATATGCATGAAATTTTTTTAATAACGATGTACTTCTCACCAAGTCTTTAAAATTGATCAGCAATTAGTTTAGTAACAACATGTGCAAGAAATTCACACAACAGGAAGTAGAAAAATGCAAAATTATAACCACAATTTTACTAATTTTATTAGTACTAAATATTTCTCGGGAATACTAAAATACTTTTCGGCTTCTCTCATTACTGATTCAGAATTTCAAACGAATTTCCAAAGATTGGACTGAAAATTCGCGGGACTTCCAGTTTCAAGCAGAAAATTTTGCCATAAACGTAAAATTATTGTGAAATTTGCGGAGCTAAGTTTGAAATATTGATTGTACGTACGTAACATTTGGTTGAAATAAATAGAATATGGCCACCATTTTGGGGAAATGCATACATAATAGTTTGCGGCAGCGGAGTCGTTTTTGCTCTGCGCATTTTAAAGTCCTAATGGTTCCAGAAAAGTAAACTTTTATTACATATTCCAATTCATTTTGGCTATACAGTCAAATCTCGATGTCTCGAACTTGAAGGGAGAGGAGAAAAAATTCGATACACCGAAAATTCGAATTATCGGAAATCGCATGTTATCGATAGTAAAATAAAGAAAAATGCTTTTTACATACCTTATTTACTATTCCATATTTATTCTAAAAACACTTTTTACACTTTCATTTAAAAAAAAGATTCAATTGTTGTTTGCTTTAGAGATGTGTAAGGAAGTTTGTAACACTTTCTAAGTGGACTATAGCTTTAAATGTCTCCTCTGACATACTTGGCTGCCTCTCAATAAATCTCCTTACAGTGTCCACTGCAGAAAGTGCTTGTTTATTAGTAACATTGGGTGGTAAATCTTCGATTTCCTCATCCTCTTCTTCTGATAGTTCACAAGAAGCTTTCGTTTGAGTGATAATATCATTGTCATCCCACAGACCACACACTGTTACTGCATCATCTACGTTTACTAAGTCATGAAATTCCATGCCACCAAGTTTTAAGAGTCCGGTCAATCTGTCCCAATCATTTTCGGTGTAGTTTTCAGCAGAATTAACGATATTGATTGTTTGACTACTTTCGTGATCTTTAATGAATCCAGCCTTCTTGAAGCCATTCATTATCGTAGAGGAAGACGCATCATTCCATGCCACTAACGTCTTTATGTCCATTTTTTTAAAAAAGCTAATCATTATGAGAATTGGTTTTCTATTCTTAATTTTTTTTATTTTTTAAGAATAGTTTTTTATTTTCAGAAGAAAAATCTACACTATTTATGGAGAAAAAAAATTCAAGTTATCTAGGGATTAGAAAAAAAATTCATGAAATCAAGTTTTTTTCAACATTGAGTGTATAGGAAATTTGAAGGGAATTTTTTTTCCTTCGAGATATCGAAAAATTCGTGAAATCAAGGTTGGAGTTAGCGAGGTTCGACTGAAGTAAATTCTACAACGCAAGGAAGAAAACGACTAGCTTTATGATGAGAAGAAAACTTATCTGTGTCGTGGAGACATTAATATTGATCTGCATTTGACTACTAACTAGGTATTTGAGTCGTCATTTCCCAGAAAAAGTTTCGCAATAACAAATAATATAAATACACTCTATAACAAAAAAAATCGACGCACCTAGAAGGAGTTGTCCGATTGAAGCGAAAATTGGTGGATAGGAAGACAATGTACAGAATAGTAAATGATTAAAATTTCAGGACAATTGAATAATTTATTGCAGAGTTACAGTAAAAAGTTCAATAAGGTGTTGACCCGCCTCTAGCCTGGATACAAGCTGCCACACGGAGTGGCATAGACCGATAAAGCTCCCGGATGGACTCTTGCGGTATTTCCTGCCAAATTCGATCCAATTGTCGAACGAGGTCAACAACATTCCATGCCAGATGCAATCGCCCTCCCATCATATCCCAGGCATGCTCGATGGGAGAGAGATCTGGTGAACTGGCAGGCCAAGGAAGAGTTTGAGAAGCTTTCAGACAGTTCATAGCAACATGTGCCGTATGTGGTCTGCAATTGTCCTGCTAAAAAATCAGCCCAGGGCGCTGCAAAAGGAACGGTAGCAAAATAGGTCCTAGGATGTCGTCGACGTACCGCTGTGTAGTAAGTGTACCTCTAATGACGACCAAAGGGGTCCGGCTGAGAAAGGAAATGGCACCCCAGACCATAATGCCTTGTTGAGGGCAGGTGTGGCAATGTGAAGGCAGGATCCCCCTCTGCCCTGTGCGTCTCCAAACACGTTTTCGATGATCGTCAGGACACAGTCGGAAGCGGGACTCGTCGCTAAAGACTATACGTCCCCAGTCGGCATCATTCCAGCCATATCTGTTCAAAACATTCATGCATACGAAATTTCAAAGCAATCGGATGATTGCTTCTTGGTGCGTCGATTTTTTAGTTATAGAGTGTAGAATATACATTAAAGTATAACTGATAAATTCATATAATCCATTCATTGTTTTATAAGAACTTTTACTAATTATAATAAGTGAGCTTTAGTTTTTATAATGTAAAAGATAAATATGTAAGACTTTTCTCTTCTTTTAGCAAGAATTTTCTGAAACCATATAATTTAGTCATTGTTTTAGGGTCATAAACAGAAAATGATATTTTGCGCCCTTTTAATTAGGAATTGAGCAAAAAATGCACCAGATGAATGTTCGATTAAAAAAAAAAAAGAGGCAATCGAGTAAGCAGACATTTTTTAAATCGCCAATTCTAATATTTAGTCTCCCTGTGGCCGATAGTGTCAGCTAGTTTTTATACTTACACATTTATTAATGTCAATAATAATAAGAATAATACCAAGAAGAAGAAGGTGAAAAAAATGCACATGAGATGAATTTTCAATTAAAAAAAGAAAAAAAAAGAGGCAATCGAATAAGCAGACATATTTTAAATCGCCAATTCGCTAATTTAATCGCCAATTCGCCAATTTAGTCGCCATGTGGCTGATAGTGACAGCTAGATTTGATTTACACTTAATTTGCTTGAATTTATTCTTCAATAATTTGAGTATTTTGTAGCAATAGTAAAAATGGTGAAATAAGCATCTGTGATGAAGATAATAGCATTAAATATTTCTTACTTAGTTAGGCGTGGAGCAGTTTCATAAATATTTTTTTATGGAGAAAGAATAAAAATTATTTAAATTAGAAAATTCTAATAAATATAACTTACACCTGGATACGATAAGGGCCGTAATCTTTCGTAATCTTCCTGCCCGGCAGTGTCCCAGAGAGTTAAACTGACCCGTATATTGTCTATTTCCATGCACCCAGCATAGTTATCAAATCTGAAAAAATGATTAAATAAATAAATAAAATGAAGAGAAAGAAAGATACTTAGGCATAAATCATTTGTCCACATACACAAATTCTTCAATTCTCTATTCTTATAATATCTGGTTTAGTTTACTACACCATTTGATTACATTATATTAGGTACGTAATGAAATTTGTGTTGGACGCAGTGCAGTCGAATACGTCTTTGGCGTCATTAAACTTTGCATGGATAAAACGAATCAACCATAAACGTCGATAGGTAAGTCAGAAGTCACATTCAATAACGTTTTTGGTCTTTGTTTTACGTCGCAATTGTTTTGTTCCGAAAATATATAGTTCAGAAATAATGTGATAAAGACACAATTAAAAAATAATAAAAGACGTCAGCTGCTTCGATTCTATAAACAAATATTTTCCTCAGTAAACAAAGATGCAGAAAGGGTGAGTCCCGTGCAACTTCGTCGGTGGAGCGAGCTCTGATTTTTTTCTACTTTTAAAATGTAAAAAACTGTTCAATAATGTTTTTGGTCTTTGTTTTACGTCACAATTGTTTCGTTCCAAAATAAATATAGTGCAAAAATAATGTAATAAAGACACAATTAAAAAATAATAAAAGACGTCAGCTTCTTCGATTCTATAAACAAATATTTTCCTCGGTAAACAAAGATACAGAAAGGGTGAGTCCCGTGCCACTTTGTAGGTGGAGCTAGCTCTGATTTTTTTCAACTTTTAAAATGTAAAAAACTGTTTAATAATGTTTTTGGTCTTTCTTTTACGCCACAATTGTTTTGTTCCGAAATAAATATAGTGCAGAAATAATGTAATAAAGTCACAATTAAAAAACAATAAAAGACGTCAGCTGCTTCGATTCTATAAACAAATATTTTCCTCAGTAAACAAAGATACAGAAAGGGTGAGTCCCGTGCCACTTTGTCGGTGGAGCGAGCTCTGATTTTTTTCAACTTATAAAATGTAAAAAAACTGTTCAATAATGTTTTTGGTCTTTGTTTTACGTCACAATTGTTTTGTTCTGAAATAAATATAGTGCAGAAATAATGTAATAAAGTCACAATTAAAAAATAATAAAAGACGTCAATTGCTTCGATTCTGTAAACAAATATTTTCCCCAGTAAACAATGATACAGAAAGGGTGAAGCCCGTGCAACTTCGTCGGTGGAGCGAGCTCTGATTTTTTTCAACTTTTAAAATGTATAAAACTGTTCAATAATGTTTTCGGTTTTTGTTTTACGTCACATTTGTTTTGTTCCGAAATAAATATAGTGCAGAAATAATGTAATAAAGTCACAATTAAAAAATAATAAAAGACGTCAGCCGCTTCGATTCTATAAACAAATATTTTCCTCAGTAAACAAAGATACAGAAAGGGTGAGTTCCGTGCAACTTCATCGGTGGAGCGAGCTCTGATTTTTTTCAACTTTTAAAATGTAAAAAACTGCAAATAACTACCGTTATAAGTCTGCATTCAGTAATGTATCTTTTATCTACATTTTAAATAATTCTATCGAAAAAATCTACAATAGAAAAGATTGAGCCGTGGTGAGTCAGGAAATGGAACATTCTCTTCCCAATGAGATAGCCGATGTTCGAATTCCAGCGGTGACAAGTTGATGACATCCATCACAGTGCTGACGTGAAATATCCTCAATGATAGACAGTGGATAAGGGAGAATCCCCTAGTTGTCAGGCTAACTATGGGAAGTTTTCGTGGTTTTTCTTTCCATGCAAGGCAAATGCTGGTTAGTTCCTTCGAAAAGTTCACCACGATGGCTAGTTTGTCTTAATTTCGATCCAGAAGTTCCCTTTTCTTTTGGGTGTGGTTCAAAATTGCAGGACTAAGAGATGATCATTGATGGTCGTAAAATCATAATTGGGTTAGTTGTTCAACACCAGTTATGAAATAAAATATAAAAGACTTAGATATAATGATATTCGATTGACAATTTTTAAGGAACATTTTTAGTGGATTTAGTTTGACTATTCCTATCTAAATTTTAATTTATTTTATCACCGTCGTCGAACAGCCGACCCACTGTTCAAATCTGTTGCCTTGTAATTTTGAACTTGATCCAGAAGACAAGAAAACTCCTAGATGAAGTATAAGGAGAAATTTGCCTTCGTAGAGGACTTTTTGATGTTACTAAAATGCATTCGCGCGACATAGAGAGGAAGACTACGAGAACCTCCCACGGTTAGCCAGACGGCAAGGAAACTCTCCATGATACGTCTACCACTGAGGATATTTTACTGGGGTGCAACCTAGATGCGGAATTCATATCGAACAACCATCGCGGAGATTCGAACTCGGTTCACCTCATTGAGAATCGAGCGTTCTATCCCCAGAGCCACCGCGGTTCATCCATTCAAAATTTTTATATCCGTCGTTAATTAGCAGACCCAATTTTAGGTTTACGACAACTAATGTTCAACTACGTATCCTTGTAATTTTGAACCAATCCAGAAGACAAGGAAACGCCTGGATCAGTAATCCCAGAGGTATGATTTGTCATGGGAACATGGAGGACTTTGCGACTCGACTGATTTAACGTGCATCAGTCACTATTTACTACACGGGGAGTCATTAGCCCGCAGGAATCGAACCCACGAACTCTTGGACATGGGCCCAGTGCCCTGCCATCCCAGCCTATCCAGTCTAAATTGTATCAATCAGATTCTCAATTTCACAAAGCATATTTACTATAAATTTTCATTTTGATGAAAAAGTTACAGAGGGAAATATGGTCGGAACAACGTAAGAAAATATTTTACATTACAAATACAAGTTTGCTACTAAAATATTTTATCGTTTATAGCTCGAGATAAATCGTTTATTTATTTAAAAAAGTAAATAAAAATAAAATAAAAAGTTGATGAAGAAGAAGGAAGGAAGGAATATATTCATTCTCCTGCCTAGAACCGTGATCGTTTGAACTATTTAAAATTAAAACTTTTAAGTAACGAGAACGGTTTAAACTGCTTAGACTAGCTTCATATTACGAACCTCGCTCTATTCACACTCGATGAGAAATGCATATTCAAAGTTGTTCTTGATTTATTTAATAAAATCCCTAAAAAAATAGGAGTGATTACGAAGAGGTTCTAAGTTCTGAAAAATCAATACAGTTTGACTGATTCTCATCATTACTTTCATCACCGATGCATTCGAAAACCAAAAAATCTTCGAATTAATTATTTAAAAACTTTGTATATTGCAGAAGTGTATAATTGTTTCAACTTCGTGACAATTTTATTCCCATTAATTTCCCAGGTGTAAACACAACTAAAAAATTGAGTCACTTGACTTCAATATTATATGTTTTACATTAACTAATATTTTGAAGAGCAATTTGAATTGCTTCCAATAGGATAATCGATGAACTTACACAGTTGGTACGTATTCTTCATCTGGAAAAGCTCCTGTGGTGTAAGATATGAGTAAACAAGTTTTACCAACAGTTCCGTCTCCCACTACAACCAATTTGATTGCTCTGTTGACGAGCTTTGCCATAACCTATAAAAACAAAATAAAAAATGACATTATCCAATGATCGCAAATCAATAGTTTTATAGCGCTTGCAAGAGGGGTCTATTTTTGTTCCAGGACGTAAAATAAAAATAGCTAATGCAACGCATAAAATCTCCTAATTCTTTGAAATGACCGGCAATTTGATTCGTTAATTAAAAAGAAACAGAAGAAAGTAAATATGTATGGTTTGCTTAGTTCTGTTTCAGAAATCAGAGTATTTATTCTTACCAATTTCAATATTAATTAGAAAGCTTGTCTAAATATGGCACTGTGGATTTTATTTAATTTTATAACCGGCGTTGATCAGTCGAAAGAATTACCGTAATCAATGTTTAACTGCGAAGTCTCAAATTAACTCAATGATCATAGGCAGACAATCACTAAATTAGTATTCTTGAATTTATCTGAAACAGTGTTTTTACTTTGGATGTGTTTATTTATAATGGAATGATTTTCGTAAAGGAAGGCGGTACAAAAAACCGTCATGATATCTTTTCGAAGAATTCAGCATTCTTGAGGGGAATCCTTGTACAAGTACTATGTGCAAGAACATAGTATACAAGTACAGTTCTGATTCAAAATATTAAAATAATTGAAAACTTCGACTATGAACTCGGTTATTTGTTTTTTACTTACTTAAATTAAATTACGATTTTAACGAGTCAAGTCTACATATTTCACAATATGTTTTAACTTAAAAAATTAATTATTAAAATAAAATTTTATTTGGTCCAAAACATGTCATTATAAACACTAAAATTCAATTATAAACGGACAAAACATTGCTTAATATTTTGTAGCTTTGATTGCAATAAGCGACATTGACCCAAGTATACTTAATGCTCTGCACTGACTCAGCTTTGTTTTCAGGAGCAATATCTTGCAGTTTTTTCTTTGGGAACTTCAACTATTTCTTTGGGAATGCATTCCATTTTAGGGTCACTTGCTCATATGCAACTCCATATCATCACACTAACTTCAAATTTTACAGAATGTTTCGGGTACTTTTTATTAATTTGTCTTCCAAGCTCGAATGCCTTGACTGCCGTAAAATACACTGAACATACTTTTGTCACTAAATAATATCTTTTTCCAATTTCCCAAGTATCATAAGTATTTTGATTTGCACCATCTCATTTTTTCAAGTTTTTGTTTAACAGTCATAAGTGGTTTTGTTTTTGAAACAAGGGATTGAAAATTAAATTTATGAAGACGTTTTAATGTGTTGCCTATTTAGAAATATTAATTCCTCCTCTCAATTTCCTATGCAATATTGTACACCCGGGAAACGCTTTTTTTTTTAACTACAGCCTTCAATTTTCTACCATCTCTAACAGAAGTTTTTTTTGTTTTCGCTCACCATTGCAACGATTATTTCTAAACTTTCCATTCTTCCGATACTGTTGTAAGATTTTATTACTGATTGACTGAGGACAACTCAAGTAGTAATATATTGTTGATTAATATCATGTCGATGTTAAGTCATTAACTCATAGTTTTATTGATTCTGGAATATCACGTAAGCATCTCATTTTAAAACAAATTCCAAACATAAATAAAGCAGTAAAGTCTTTTTAAAATAATCGTTTGCAATAAATATAAAATTCTTTTGAGCTTTCTCGCTATTAGAAACAAATTAGAACTATTAGAAACATTCTACATTCTAAAAATTTGGATTAATTAAATTAAGTATTCTAATATTTTGAGTTGTAATAATATAATTTTATTTGTTATTAGCTTTCCTTAAAAAATGAGGAAATTTTAGGCTTCCGTCGCAATTTCACTGAAAAATAAATTCCTAAAAAATATCGTTTGCATATATGTATTATATAATACTTAAAAATAAAGTGTTTTCTTTTCAGAGAAAAAAGGATTATTTTAATATTTTGAATCAGAGTCGTACTATGTTAATGAAGACTCTATTGAGAATTCTTCGCGTCATAAATGTGTGGCTATCATTTATAACATGAAGATAGTGTAAGATGTTGATATATTTCTTTCATGTACGATATTAATTCAATAATTTAAATTACTTTTAATAACTAAGTAAATGTTTCTAAAAATATTGAAAATTTATTTCTTATCATTCATATAGGGATCGCCAGTTTCGTGTCAAATCAAAAAAAGAAATTCAAAATTCATCATAAGGTAGTTACTTTCCTCTACGACATTTAAAAATATATAATTTCATCTTTTTTATTTTCTAATTTACGTTTCTTTTTCATGACATCTCTTTTTGCGTTTCTTTTCAGCAACATACAAAGTCTTATAGTGATATACTATATTTTTATGCTTTGAGCATGAATCAAAATTTTAAATGGTATTGTCTAAAGTAAACAAATCAAAGCTTTTTTTTATAAATCATTGTTCTTTACATATATTTTTAGATGTTATAAAGAATTAAAGCTGGAGTAAAAATTCTTATGGGTCACTGAGAAATAGTATAAAAAGAGAAATATAGTACGAGAAATAAGAACTAAACGCTGTTTTTCGAAGCTCTGTCGCCAAGGAAAATAAATATAAGTCATAGTTTATGTACCTTGCACTTAAAGTAATGCGATGATTTTAAACTATATATATAATCTTGCCGTGAATAATTATCTGAGCTTTAGAACAGACAAAAAACATAAATATTTAGAACTTATTAAAGCTTTTTTTTTTTTTTAAATCTCTAATTTGGCGACATTTTTCAACCTAGATGAAAATTATCAAAATCATTGTCTTATTCCCAGTTTTTGCAAATTTTTATGAAAGCAAGTATGAAAGCGCTGGAGTAAGTTTTTTAAATATTAAAAAATTAGACCAGAAACGCTTTCCATTTTCACAAAACTGTGGTTTTTCTCAATAATGACGTTTTGCGCCATTTACATTATAAGCATAGACAGTGCTGGCTCTAAATGGGCAAAACTTAACCTAGCAGTCATGAGTAACAGTTGCAATCTCACAGCAGTTATAAAAAATAGCATATTATTCTCAAAAAAGCATAATTTCATAATATTACGACGTAGCCTTCGAAAAACAGCATTAAATAATTGCTTTCGAAAAGAGAAATAAAAATGGAAGTTCGGTGATAGTTGTAGGGATCAAAATTCAAAATGAATACCTTATTTTCCTAATATAAAGAGAAGCAAAAAAATCGTGATTCAAGAATATGTATTTTTCATTTATTTCTACGTATTTTTCTAATGTACTTTGAAGAAAAACATATTTTTGATGTTCTAAAGCAGAGGTTTCCAACTTACATGAGGCCAGGGGGACGCAATTAAAAACACCAGTCAAATGGCGGGCCGCTACTTAATAAAAATTTTATATTGGACTCTTTTATGTTTGAAGGAACATTAAATATTACAGTCAGATTTTTATCAAGTTGCACAAAACAGAAGTATTGAATTACAGATAAAAATACAAAGTAGCTTTTTACCCGAGAAATAATTTTTTTTTTTGCACCGTTGGTATGTTAAATTTCACAAAAACAAATAAATTAGTTTTTTTTCTATTTTATTTAAACGAAAGAAAATTATTTTAAACCCATAATGATTATTTACGCAAATTCTCCGTTAAAAATAACAACTAATATATTTTAGTTCGCGGGTCACAAAACGCAGGCCGGACGTGGCCCGCGAGCTGCCAATTGCTTAGCACTGTTCTACAGCATAGTTTCCATTTTTTTTTCTCGCGTTACTTCAGTTAATTTTATGAGTTTATTCATCTTTTTTTTCTTTCTATGTGTGTAATTTTAAATCTAATCATAAAATCTAATCACAGTGCTTAAGTTGCTTTTAAGCTTATTTCTGTTTTAATTATCGACTTTTTTAAAGCTTTTTCATGCATTGCTGTAATATTTATATACACAAATTACACAACTTAGGTATCTTTCTCATTTTAGGAGTTATTGTGTATTGTGACTCAAAGTTAGGTAATTCTCAATCACCCTGTATTATCTTCAACAAAGAACCCAATAGTTCGCCTATGAATACTAGATGTACAGTTTACCTCCACTTAATATTAAATTCACCACCCTAGACAATTAAAGACCGTAGTTGTGACAAAGAATGAGATAAGGAAAATAAAAAGAACGGAAACGCCTCCACTAAGCTTCTGACAAGCTCAGGTCATCACCGCCTTCACAAATAACGCAGACAAAAGAGTGGCTTAGAAGCAGCTAATAAATAGCCGCTTTTGTTGAGAAATGTCAAATGGCGGCAATTTTTGTCTCATTCAGTATCAAAGGAAGCTTGTATTCGAAGTTGTAATGACTAAAGCTGAAGGAATCGTAAAATTTATTTAAATGCTTAATAAATTGGGAGTTATTCTCAATTTAAAAATGTAGATTTATAAACAATGCATAATTTGGCAACTTGACAAAAATTCTTCAGTATGGCGTAGATATTATTTTTTTTCCTTTCGGTTTAGTAGTAGATTTCTAGTCATTTATTATTCTTGTGTGCTAAAAAAAATTTCCATTAATAAAATGAGGAGCTCATTTAGTTTTTGGTACACGTGTTATGTTTCCTTTTACTAACTGAATATGCGTTATTCGTATTTGGTGGGGAAAAAAAACAGAGAAAATAACCAATAAATCATTACTAAAGAACACTAAGAAATCGTGCACAAAACTGGATGACGTATATCAGCACAATTATTAAAGCTAAAATAATTCCAATACATTTATTTACTCTTACATTTTGTCCTTCTCTGTTACTTTACATTATTAGATAACCAGCGTTGAGCAGCTGTCGGGCTAACTAACGTCAAAAGATTATCAGTTCCATAGTCTTATATTATCATATTATAACCGTAGTTGAACAGCCAACCCAATTTTGGGCCTATGACTACTAATGTTCAACTCCATAGCCTTGTAATTTTGAACCCAATCCAGAAGACAAGGGAACTCCCGGATCAAGTATTGCGAGAAATTTGCCTTCATGGAGTACTTTTTGATGGAACTCACCCGCATTTGAGTTACATAGAGAGGAAAACCACAA